GGTGAGACTTCACATTTGAATACAGTTACCAATATCCATGTCTGAAGGATCAGCACCTAAAATTATAGCAATATATGTCTAGCTTAAATAATTGTAAGTGGTATTCCAACAAAAGAGCTGTCCTATTAACACACCCGTCTAGTCCAAAATTTAAAGAATTTTCTTCCGTCTTATATGGTGTCTATTAGTATTTAGTCTGCCTCCAGGTGGCACCAGGATTTAATCTGGCAACATCATTTAATACACAAGTTAGTATAAGAGCAAGCTGTTAAATGCACACACAGGGTAGTTAATCTACATTATTACTGTGACAGCATCCTGGAGTCTCCATTGTGATAGGTGCTGTGCAAACATGGTACAAAGCCACTCCCCCCAAAGAGTTTACAATCCAGGTACCAGACAAAAGACAGCAGATGGATAGTCAGACAGGAAAACATAAGGCAACAATGAGTTAATAGTGCTCAGCATGATTCACAGTAGTCACAATTTACCAGCTGTCAGTCTCAGATCCAGCTGTACACCAATCCGCTTGTTTAAAAGCACATCTGTACTGTTTGTTCACTGCAATAAGATGCCTCAATGGAGATATTACTCACATTTTTCCTTTTTTGGAAGTAGAGTCTGTAATTTATTCCACCACGTCTCATTTCAGAAGTATTTTTTTTAAATTACTGAGCCAGTACTCAACTTTAGCTGTCTTTAAAAACAACTATTTAAAATACAGTTCACTGTTTGATATAACCAAGCATGCCAGCATATGAACTGCTGTAAGAGATGATTGAGAGTCTTTCAATTAAGCAGCAATTCTGCAATTAGGAGGAACTGAGTGCTCATAACAATAATTTGAAAACAAGTCAAGACAAGTTAGTAATTACTCTACTAAAAGGATATATCTGCTTACATCAGAGCCTCTACTACCCCACGCAGTGCCAATATGAGATTTTCAATGTAGGCACACAACACATGCTTAAAACTGCACTTCAGACATACATATATATCTATAAGGCAAACGCTTAAAGTAAAATTTGAGGGCCTTTTATTCTTAAAGCAGTGGTGTACTGAGTATAGAAAAGTGTGAAAGCTCACTGATCTCCATTCTCAGGCTAACATACCCAAAGTTTGAAATTCTTCTACCCATAACTTCTCCTTAACTTCTGCTTTTCTATGTGCACCTTTGAGGATCTATTCACTGAGCAATAATGCAACAACTTCTACTTCTTCAGCTATTATGTCCTATTGTTTATAGTGAGAAATTACTGTCAGGATAATAAGTTAAAACTGCAGACTACTTTCAGTGCTGGATCTTCATTATGCGTGCAACTATAAAAAAGATTTATTGGATGTTTATTTTCCTACGTGTGTCTTGACTGAACATTAGAAAAATGAATTTAAAAAAATGTATCTCTGTACTGTGTTTTCAGCTGGGTCCTTCAGTCTTCTGTGGCAACATATAAACTAATGTGTTTTATGTTTGAAAGCATATTGATGAGAGCCAGCCTTTTCAGTTTAGCCTTCTCAACCCCTTACACGTATAATATACACTTCTTGCCCTCTCCTTCACACCTCTACACCCAGTCCTCCCTTACAGCAGGATTATTCAGATAAGAATTAAAATGTTGAGCCTGAGGGCCTACTTTAACCTGACTTTACAGCGTTAAAACCATGGGATCCTCTCTGCAGTGCTAGGATGTGGTGGGTCTGAACAGAAAGCATTATATTTATATTTGGGTTTTCCCAGCTGTGGTTTGGTGAAGTTGAACTTTAAGTAATAGTATGACAGCAGAGAATTGGTTAATTTATGGAGCATAGTAGAAAGAGTCTTCCTGGATGTGTTAACTAACAGTGACTAGCAGCACTTTTCAAATGATTTTATATTGGAGGAGGCAAAGTTGGGGTTTTGTCCTGAGCCCAGAATAAGGGACAACATACTGTTGCGCCACCCCAGGAGTGTACCAGAAGAGTCTCAATCTCTCTTGCAGGTCCCCTCATAGTCTGAGTGACAGGTACCCTGCATATGGTCCATCTGCACAGCTAAAGCACCACACATGCCCAGTGGGAGGAGATATAATGCCTCTGTGAAGACTTCCTCTTCCTGCACATCTGTCTACCCATGGTTCAGACAGCTAGTAAATGGATGCAGAAAGCGTTATTCCTGCTTACATCACTGCATAGCTTCACAAACCAGGCCACCATTGGACCCATAGTAATTCAAATGCTACAGGGCCAATTTTGATACCCTTACTTGCATTAATTAGTATCTTACTCAGCAGATAGATCTATTGAATTTTGTGCAATTCAAGGACTAAATTACTATTCATTGTGATTAAGGGATGAGAAATTGACCCTAAATCAATAATATGACCTTTTATTGTGAGGTAACTGATTAAACACATTCAAATAAATTACAAACTTCTTATTCATGTTGGTGAACAACTACCAACCCAAAAATCAGTGGGACTTGTTGAATGACTAAGTGTTCACATGTATAAGTAGGGGGTTCACAGCCTGTCCCCTCTATGTGTAGATGTATATGAAATAGCATAGATTTTTCATGTATATGTATTTTTATCAAACCACAAATGACAGATACATAAATACTTGCTGAAGAGAAAATATCACCAGGATAGATTCCCTGCATACATTAAAACTCAGTTACTAGAAGCATAAATAAGTAATGAATATTGATCTCACAATGGCAATAACTTCAAAACAGCAACCTATAATAAAGTGAAAGTAAATATGTACATTGTAAAAAAACTTTACTGTTCAAGTGAAGACACTAATAGTATCTCTGGAATTAAAAATTATGTCCATAATTATATTACATTATAATATTACAAGAGTATTTTTTTAAAAAAAGTCAGTAGCAAGGTATCCAAATCATTAATTTAGTTTTTTGGCCATTCAACACAGCTTACCACTTAACACTAATTCCTTTTCAAAGGAAAGAGAAATATTTTCAATGCAGCCATGAAACAAGGACAGAAAAAAAAAACATCAATTTTTACCATCTTCCTAATTCTTAAAAGAAAGAACACATAGCTATTATCTAATTTACTTAAAGATAGAAACTTTTGCCCCTTAAAGAGTTCCCTTCTTCATTGAATGCACCCAGAGCATAATCAGTTTAATTGTTTACTGGACATTTTCATATTCTTTCTTCAGTTTAACACAAAGTTGATGAACAGGACAAAGACTTTATGACATTGGAATTCCAGTTATGGTAACCAGCATGTTTTAAATTCCAGGAAAGGTTACATTTCAACAAGTGAATCTTTCCATTCACTAACTGTACCTCAGTTGATAGTATAGATACATTATTGTGAGCGGCAGTCAATGAGTTTCTTCTCCTTATACTCAAACATTCCATTTACCATTTCAGGCAATATGTTATACATACACTTGTGTGTGCCCCTTGCCAAAACTACACCGCTTAATTCCTTCAAGCTATCATAGCTTGAAGCTGTCCATGTCATATCCAAGTAACTTTAAATCTGGAGAAAATCTAATGTCGCACAAAACAATGAAAGCCCACGCGTTACTTTTACGACTCTAGAAAACAAAAACCAGTCTTGAATGTGAGCATGTAAAGTATCAACTTTTAGCAAACAAAAGATGTACAATGTTGGTATTCACTGCGCTATGTTACAGCTTTCCTTCAGGGTGCTGTACTGGAAAGCTGTTTAGCAGCTTGAGTTACAGCAGTGTAGCCAGCAAACTACCATGGCAGAAAGAGATCCAGTACTGGGGAGATTACTCTAACACCTAGAAATCCACTTGGCCTTCACTCCTGTGCAAGTGCGCGTCTTCCTCTCTGTTCGCCGGGCAGTGCGGATACCGACTGGGGGAAAGCCCCCACAAGCAAGCTCACTTAAGACAACACACACACGTTGGAAGTGATGCCAGCTGTGCCCCGCTCTGCCCCGCTCGCTACGGCTTGCCAGACGCAGCTACCCATCCCGCCTTCACTGCGGGAGCGTCTCTCCCTCCCGATGGCGCTTAGCGGACAAAGCGGGCTCAAGTGGCTCCTAAGATCCGTGGAAGACCCACCAGCCTGCAGCCGGGGACTGAGCTCGCTGGTCACAGCTCCTCGCGGCTGGGGCCGCCACCGGCG